CGGATGCAAATTTCTGGTCTCTTCAGATGCGGTTCTTATAATTCTGAACCACTAAACTCTTAATTTTTCTTTGTTATCTCCTTGTTATCTCTCTTTCTCTTTCTTTCTTCCCCGCTTTTTTTTCTTTTTTTTTTTTCAATTCAAGAGAGAGAAGTATTCTTATACAAGTTGAAAGAGTACATTAATAGAGCAAAATTATATTGCTCTTGGGTCATTTCTTCCTATACAGTCCTAAGAAAGAAATGTTTTGACCCTATTGACAATTGAGAGCTACACAGTAGAAAGAAAACACAATAGCTCTACACATTTGATTTTGTCCTACTTCAGTTACCATGGGAAGTTTTAATCAATGACGAGCCTCCTAAGTCATCCATGCATGACTGAACTTAGAGACAAACTAATATAGATTCAAAAGTAGACGCCAGCATGTAGATTCGACAGTATACGCCACCTAACTCCCACCAGGAAACTCAATTCGGGTAGCTAACATTTTTTTATCGAACCCTTGTACTCTAATCTTCTTAGATTTGGGATCTGGAATTTCGGAAGGGATAGAATCCCAATCCTTGTGCTTCTTATCATCTGGATTAGGGATGTATTCTCAGTCATCCCAGTTTTTCGGCTTCTCCGCTCTGTTATACTTCAGTTCTCTTGGTGAGAGAATTTCCCAATCATTGTACAGATTTCCGTCACATTGATTTTCTATAGAAGAGGCTATAAGCTTGTTCAAGAATGTCACATGATCACATGCTACTACACTGACAACTGGATTCAGAAAATACGCTTTGGGCACACTAGCTTGACAAAGGCCTTCCCGGCTTTGTGATAAAACGATTTCTATGCTTTCACATTAGGATGGAGTAAATACCGCAAGTGTCTAAATTAAAATTTGAAACTTCTGACTGCCCCCATTTCAGAGTTCAGGAATATTGCTGTATGAGCACGGGCTGCTGTGCAATCTGAAACTAAATTTCTGAACTTCAGCAATTCTAAATTTCCAAATTCTGAACTCCTGAACTTTGGTATCTGAAATTTCTCACATCTGCAATTTTGAATTCTTAACTCTTGAACTTCATTATCTGAAATTTCTCACGTCTGCAATTCTGAATTTCTGTTCCCTGATCCCGAAATCCTGAAATGCCTTCTCTTCCCTGATCAGAATTGATTCACTGATCCCGAAGTCCTGAAATGTCTTCTCTTCCCTGATCAGAACTGATTCCCTGATCCCGAAGTCCTGAAATGCCTTCTCTCCCCTGATCAGAACTGATTCCCTGATCCTGAAGTCCTGAAATGCCTTTCTCTTTCTGATCAGAACTAATTCCCTGATCTCGAAATCCAGCTCTGTGTATAATCACCGTCAAATTGGCTCCCCTCTGGCTCTTAAGATCCTTGTCCGTCTTTGTCGTGAACCAAAGCTCTACTTCCGTTGTTTGTAGATACTCTTGAGACGCGCATTCCACAAAAGCGAATATCCCAAATTACTCAGCATACTCAAATCAACGTGCGCGATCTTGATTTCCCCTTTATACGTCAATTTTCAAAGCTAATGGCATTCGGTACCAGCCTCACCTTGCTCTATATTACGTGTAGGCAATGTGATCAGATTTGATTCTATTCAGATCACTAGAACTAAAAATCCTTTGAAAATTTAAAAGTTCATGCTTTCGAACATGCACTCCGTGGAGCACTAAAAGCGTCACAAGCTCATTTTTGAAACATAATCCGTCCAATTCAACTACTTGTACTTGGATTCTGACGAGTATCAAAACCTGATCTATTCTCAAGCAAAGTTCAGTTCTCACATTACTTCGCAACACCGACTCTCATCCATTTTGATGCGAACGCAACGGAGTCAAAAACCCAAAGTACAGCAAGAATCACACCCCCGTCTTTTTCCACTTTGATTTCAAAAAATTCACCATAAAACTCGTCAATACTGTCACAGACAATAATCACAAAAAATCTCCAAACCTATGACTCTAACTGCAAAAATCACCCAAACTTCTCATTTGGTAGAGCTTACTGCTCAAACCACTCCGAAGTACTTTGCCTGAATTAAATCGCAAGTTCAAAAAAACACCAAAAATATAACCAGAAACCGTCAACTGTAATGATTTCACAGAAAGGGAGTTCTTCGAGTGAAAACACGGAATCTTTTCCACTAGAATTCTTGTCGGCATGATTACCTCACTGGCAACAACCGTCACATACAAAGTCAAGCCCAACCCACTCCGGAGAGATTCCAGGTCGATGCTAACGGGTCGCTCTACTCGCACTACTCCCAACGCGCTAGGCTCGACTCGAAGAACTAATGTTCTTCGAGTCGTCTTCGTACCTATACCCTACGTGACCTGAAACCCTAGGCCGACTGTTATTTTTAGTAACAGACGGAATCACATGACAAAATTTATGTTTCAGACTAAAGTCCCTTCTACTTATATCATCCACAACCGTCAATCTTCGTTGCATGAAGTCCTTCTTCGACCTCTTGGAAGCTCTATTAGAGAAATCTGATACTTCTAGAGGAATCCCATATGTCGGATTTGTAAAGTATTCTACTAACTCAGGTATATTGTAAATTTACAACAAACTGTTGATAGAGGTCCACTGCTCTCTTCTTACACTACTTCAACTTTAGAAGTAGACTTGAAGAGATGTAGATTTAGAAAGAAAATTGAAGTAGTAAGTTTAACTGTGGACCAGACTTGAGAAAGAGTATATGCAGTATCTATTTAAAGATTTCAAGCACGCTGTACACATCTCAGTCTCCTGGTCTTCATGTTTATTCGTTCTTTAAAATTGAGATAAGAAATACCTATTCTTCCGAATCATCCTCTACAAGTTTTGTACATCCGCATAAACCTGTACCTGCAGCCTACCATGGACGAAAGGCTGTACACACAGCTGACTCAAAGGAAATCAGTCTTGACAACTTCCTTGCACGCACCTAATGAAGTGCTTATACAGAAGCGTTTATGGTTGAGATAAAAAAAAACCTGAAATTCATTGACGTAATCTACTCAAAAGGTCAAATTCTCTAAATTCTGCTGATGCTGAATAGCTTAGATCACATATGTTAGCAATGTAGAGTGTATGGCGATCCGTATTTGCACGACAAGTATGGAGAGCATCATGGAGAGAAAATTAATTATAAACACATCGTAAATTTTTCATAGATTTTTGCAAGGATGCGGTCACAAAGTTATTTGAGAAACATGCCATGAACATTCAACAATCTTAACAAGACACGAAGCCAAGATTGTGTAGCTCCAACAAACAATCTTGAGGATAAGGATGTTGACATGAACATGAAAGATTTGTTTTTGTCTCAATGAAAAATCTGTCGTAGTTTAATTGAATCTTGAACAAAATTGAGGTGACTGTTTTGCACAAAACAACAATTGGTGTTGAGAGAGTGTGAACATAAGATCAACACCCGCTCGCAAATGTTGATCGACGCGTAGAGTATCAATTCATATGTGCAAAGTAGTAAAAAGAACGTTGCACAACTTTTGTATTTTGCAAAAAATTCTATAAAAATACATATTTGTACAACATTCTCCTTATTGCTTTGCACATGAAGATATAATAAATCCAGTTGAATCTTGAGAATCTGATGACTTGCGTGAAGACGAACGAGCTAAAATTATGCCTAGAAGTTTGAACTTATAAAAGCTTATTAAAATAACACATATATTTTTAAGTACAAAAAAAAGGAAAAAATAAACTAATTTCATAAATGTGATATGCATCATTAGATAATTACAATGATCACTTTTGAAAAAAAAACCATATTGAAAACATATTCATTATCAATATAAATTTAGTAGGAAATTCTAATTTGTACTAACTAGGTATAGTGAGGAGTAGACAATTTTAACTCCACAAATTAAGAGTTCAATCACAACCAAGAATTCTTCCACCACTAATACTGCTACCCGTGTTAGTGTACAAGCTACGAAAGCAACCGCTAGACAAATCAAGCTAATCAACCTGCGACAAACAACAAAGTTTCTTTTGAAGCTAACACAAGTACTGTTCAACAATGTAGCAAAGATATTTTTCACTGTACACGTTTAGTTGTGAAACATACTGTAGATTGTATTCCATGTAGCTTTGGATCATGAAATGATGTTGTGTTTTTTCTAAAAAAAAGTGTTACAAGCATAAACACGTCAAACAATGAGCAACCAGGCCAATAACGAAAAAGGTAAGTGTTTCAAATGTAACCAATCGGGACACAATGGTTGTACATGCGAAAGAAGAGCAGCTGCGGATGTTGTAGACTTTATGAATGAGGAGCCTGATAAGACAAGTTACGGTCCATATTATGAGAGTGTTAAGATATCATCGTCGCTTTAATCTTGTGCTCCAACATGTTCTGTTGGACTAATTTCGACGGACTTGTATATTGAATCATAAGAAATATCTCACAATTCCATCGGAGTAACTTTTTATGGCTTTGATCGGGTAAAATAAAACTTGATGGGTCCCATCAAACCATTTAGGTTCCGATGGGATTCCATCAAGTAAATAACTCTTTATAAAACTCATCATATGACTTTTTTAACAACTCAGGCGAATGAAGTAGTATATATTCCAAAGTGAAGTTCAAGCTTCGAGCTAAGGGCATCTCATACTTTTTCTAGGGCTGAACTCTGTGCAATTTGATAGACTTTTCTTCTCCAGTAAATTACAAGATGCAGAAACATTGTCGATGATATGTATGTACACAAAGGAGCGACTATTTGGATCGATTTCCAGCAATGTCGAGATTAGCCTTGCCAGAACGAAGGAGGTAGCGTCCAACCTCACATCACCAGCGCAGTCGATTTCACTCCCGTCGCAGTAACCTTCTCCTGTCGCATCCTTCTTGCACAGCATGGCACGACGCAGTTCGACTACGAAGAAGTGCTGACAGCACCGTCACTCGGTTGAAAGGGGGAACCGCGTCACACATCTCCACCTCGAGTGTGGGGAGGTGAGTTGCGGGGGAATTCGGTCTCTCTCACAACGAGCAGAAGGTCCCTTATCCGTGCAGTTGTCCTGGACTGGACCGACCGGGGGAACGTTCTGTCGTTTCCGATTGCCATGGCCTGTCGCCGACTGGCTCCTCTGTTGTCTCCCCGCGCGCCTCGTCAGCAGATTCATGAAGCCTCGAGCATTGCCCGCTTCCGGTTCGGAGAAGGATTGAGGATTGAGCGGAGCATAAGATTTGGGAACTGATGAAGTGCTCCGCTCTGAATCCATCATGCTCGGTCGCTCGCCTGATTTGTGTCAGCGAAGTTCGAACGGATCATCGGGTGAGGAGGAATTCCATATCTTTCGGCGCTCTCTCGCCGCACGCGAAGCGTGTTTCGAGAGCTGTCGATGATGACTATGGCCTCGGGCTTTGTCGTCGCCTGCATCCGTCGGGCTGGTGGTTTCCGGGATCTTCCGATGGAGAATCCTCCCGCCCTGGGGCCAGACTCGTGACGGGTGCGAGCAAAAGCAGGGGCAGAAATTGGCAAGAGTATGACGAGGCGGTCCAGAACATGGATCTCGGCGCAGCGCTTGAGATTTTGAATGTTCTGAACACTCCAGAGACTGATGCATCTCGTACTTCCAGCCTCGAGTCGGATGCGCCGTCCTGGATTGTGAATGAATCCCAATCGGACAATAACTTGACCTTAAATTCTGATCCAAATGGTCAGCAGTCTCGAGATTTTTTCAAGATACTGGATGCCGCACAATTGACCCTGGACTTAGGTCTGGTCGGGCGAGCATATGATTATCTTCGAGTCAGGGGATTCGTGAACAGTTTTGGAAAATTCAAGTCTCGAGGTACGGCTATAGTCAATGCGCCATATTTTTATGATGGAAATGTTGTTGATGTTTTTGGCGACTGAAAGTTGTAGAGTGGATATTTTTGCTTCGACTGCAGTTTGTAATTTTCAGTATAGGAGTCGTTTTAGGACTTCGTAAATGGCTAATCTGTTGAAGCTGACGTTTCTAATAAATGCATGTACTTGCAGCTTCTGAAGGAGAGAGGGTGGTGACACCAGCCATGATGCTCGAAACTGCAGGCCTTGATGGTGAGTAAAATGTCAGCGATGAATTTTTTTAATTTTTTGTTTGGGGAACTTAAATTTGCTTCTGTTGAGTATTGGTAGTTTATAATAAGTCAGTAGACAGCGTTCATACTGATTGCGAAAATGTGTGCTGCAGCATCCAAGCTCTCGCCTAAGAAGTGGGGCTTGTCAGGAAACTCAGCCATCATTCTGCCAGCTTCTTTCGCCTTTCTTTCTTTCCTCGTCAACAATGAGATTGATGTAAGACCCTACTTGCTTCTGATCCTGGGGCTTGGAGTTGCTGATGGAATTTACTTGGGAGGGACGGGTACTGCACAAGTTCTCAGCTTATGGCCACCTTACAAACGACGAGTGTTAGTGCACGAAGCTGGCCATGTGCTTGTAGGTAAGTCAGAATGTAGCATTCAAAGGGTTGCTCCTCCTGTACCTTCCTAACGAAGAGGCTTCTGAAACATGCTCCTTGAACATGTTTCTCATGCTATCCATCGAATTTTACTTTTCGTGCAGCTTATTTGCTGGGGTGCCCTGTTCGTGGAGTCATTCTTGATGCAATGCAGGCTATGAAGATGGGAATTCAAGGCCAGGTTTGTTCATCTCGCCTCTGTCTGAAGTTCAGTGATTTTCTTTAAACGGATGTCGTAGTGTCATTCCTGGGGTGTAAGTTGAATGACCTCAAAGATCGTTCTGCAAAATAGTTGAAGCTAAAGCTGCGTATATGCTGATGCGCGTAGGCAGGGACTCAATTTTGGGACGAAACATTGGAGAACGAGTTACGGCAAGATAAGCTGACAGGGGCATCTGTAGATCGGTATGTTCTCCAGTTTCAGTTCTCCAGTTTTCAGGGTTATCAACATACAATAATCGGACCACTTTCCTTCATTACTGTCCGTCCGGTTCCCGATTGATCAGTTTGATGCGCCATAAGAACGGCCGGTATATGATTATGCGGTTTGGTCGATTGTTGTGCTGGCAGGTACAGCATCGTTCTGTTTGCTGGAATAGCAGCAGAGGCATTAGTGTACGGAGAAGCGGAAGGTGGTGAAAGTGATGAAAACTTATTCAAATCCGTTGTATCTCAGTTGCAACCGCCCTGGAGTCCTGCAAAGGTGATGCTTGCAGATTTCACCTCCCAATGTCTCGGGGTTTCGACTACGAGTTTTATTTGTATGTTTCTGAATGTTGCTGAACAAAGAACCTTGGCGGCCTGTTGTTATTGCAGATGTCGAACCAGGCTCGTTGGGCAGTTTTGAGAGCATTTACTCTGATCAAGGAGAATAGGAATGCGCATACGGCAATCGTGGAAGCTTTGGAGCGAGGGGCAGGTTTGGGATCCTTGATCAAGACCATAGAGGACGCAATGGCCTGATCCCTTCCATGCCTACAGCAGCAGCTGACTGGGTTGCACTCAAGGCCTGTGCTGGGTGGGATAGCCAGAGTGGACGGGAGGCGTCGACTTAAACACCTTTACCCTGTCGTCCTGCACCTCCATAATCATCTTTGATGAGGCGCAAGCATGTAGAGCGAGCTGATTCAGGGGATTCAGGGTCCTGGGATGTAAATCCTCGTGCTTTGAACTAGAGATACCTGTACTGCACTAGCTGCAAACTTCATTGCAGGATTCTGGGATCTTGATCTGCTGCTGACAGGTGGATGCTGTGATCAAATGGCGAAGAGTGGAAAGTTTTTCACCCAGGTCCCAAAAATATATCCGACTTGTTGTTACCAGCCCAAACGACAGAGTCAGTCGTCAACTATTGATCAGACGGAAAGTAGCTCCCTTTCTCAGCTTTGAGCTGCATTTACAGTACGTAGTTCTCTTGAGGCAAGCACTAAGCGGCAGATTCGCCTAGTACCTTTGTAAAGTATACACGCCATGTACAATAACATCAAAGTGTAGAGCTAATCAATTTTTATGCGCTCGGAGGTTTGTGCTCTTTGTTTCAAACACTCAGTCTACAATCTTCAAACTCGTGTGATGGCTCCTTGTTTTGATGATCACACAAGCTGAGAAGGAAACGCAAATAAGAACGCGTGAATACTCAGATTCCATCTAAATGCCACAAGTAGTGAAGAACAAGGGATGGCATAATAAACTTCTCGATGCTGTGGAGGGCAACATCAAGACCTGACCGCTAAGACGAGTATGATCCTGATTGGTCGTGGGATAATTCCCACCTAATTGATCTGAACTCGAGTAGTGTTTTAAGGAAATCATTATTGAAAATTGCTCGTTGTGAAACTTACACAAGTTGATAGCTGTACAACGCCTATTCCCCTTCTTCAGGATCTATAATGTCCGCTGTTGAATATTTGATAGAGATATTCTCGGCTGTACATCGGCGACTTGTAATTAATAAAAGAAAACGTTATGGAGTGAAATTAAGTTGTTCCTGGCAAATGTACGTACAGAGGTTGAATATCAGATCTCTGTGTGATGAAATGAATGTGTTCTTGTCTTTTGAAGGTTCCACATGGCCAGAGAGTCACAAAGATGGTTGCTTTTAGTTGAATCGAACTTGTAAAATATGCACAATGTAATCTCACTATAAACATCTTGTTTTGTCACAAACAAGAGACTGATATGTACCAAGAGAGTTGTACACGATGTGATTGGAGTGTCTCTTGACAATTTTCTTCCTATTACACGTGTTTGAAATACTACAACAGCTGTAAGATTAGGAGAAGAACTTGGAACCACTATCTTGTTCAACACTATGCTAATTGTAAAATACTTGTAAGTTGACTTCTATCAATGAAAAGTTGCACCTCAAGTGCATGCTTTGTATGTACGAAGATATAGTTATAGAAAGCTGATGGATATGTCCACCTGGAACGAGTCCCAAAACCGAAACGATACTTCTCGTGTCAGAGTGTAAACAGAATTTGAAGTTCTACTGATAAGGTCGTTAGCTTTTTCGTACAGAATGTGTTACAAAATTATTTTCATTCAAATCTTTGCTTAGTACTATATAGGTTTCTAAATTGTGTGACTAAAGAGAGCTTGCCATTAACGAGGTCGAATTACACTAAACTGATATGTATATCCCTAGGAAGTCTGAAATGTGTTTTGAACCGGGGTCTGCTTATAAAATTTTCTCGAAATAAACTGAAGATGCATTTAACGTATCTAAAGAAACCAGCCAAGAAATCCCAATTGGCTATGTTCAATTGTAATAACAACGAGGGCTCATAATACTACACAAAAGATCCATAAAGTGAAGCTCCAAAGTGCAGCAGTGATAATGAACATTGATCTTTAATTATTCGATTTTATATCAAGTGTAGACTCAACGTAGACTGTCATTACAATGGATGGAGATTACCAATATTGGGTTTTTTGGCCTTCAGCAATAAATGCGTAGAAGGTATAAGCCAACTTCCTGGAACTGAAGCGAGGCAATCTTTCAGGATACGCAAAGCGTCGAAGCATTGATTTCAATTGTAGCACGTGTGGATTGAACGAAACGGCAAAGTGTCACACGTAGAGAGTTCCGATGGACTTTGACTATTACAATCAACAGATCACGTCAGTTAACCGAGTACTATTTATTTATATTTTTATCTAATACGTTTGAGTACAAATTTTTTTTTGCTCTATGAAGATTGTTTTACATTCCAGAGTACAATAATACTCATAGATGTTCTTTGTGTATACAATAATTGGATTTAGTCAAGAAGAGTAAAAATAATGCCCTGATAGTATTTGGGCTAGCCATGCTTAGCCCGTTTCATCCCAGTGAGATGTTTTGATGCTCTTCAACAGATCACGTCAATTAACCGAGTACTACTTATTTATTTTTTTGTTTAATATGTTTTAATACACATTTTCTATTGCTTTATGGAGATTGGTTAACATTGTAGAGTATAGTAATAATCATAGATGTCCTTTTTGTATCCCATAATTGGGATATTTGAAGTGGAGGAAAAAATAATGCCCACGTTGATAGTATTTGGGCTAGCCATGTTTAGCCCGTTTCATCCTAGTGAGATGTTTGATGGTCTTCAACACATCACGTCAGTTAACAGAGTACTACTTATCTATAATAATGTGTAATATGTTATACTACACATTTTCCATTGCTCTATTTACTTTGGAGAGTATAATAATAATCATAGATGTCCTTTTTGTATTCCATTATTGGTATATTTGAAGTGGATAGGAAATAATGCCCACGCTGATAGTATCTGGAATAGCCATGCTTATCCCTTTTCATACTAGTAGGTTGTTTTGATGGTCTTCAACAGATCACGTCAGTTAACCGATTAAATTTTCATTTTTTTGGGAAATATGTACATATACAATACACATTTCCTTTTGCTCTATAGATATTGTTTAACTTTGCAGATTTTAATAATAATCATAGATGTAACATCTATGATTATTATCATATTGTGATATATTATTATATTACAAGGAACCTCTTAGATGTTCCTTGTGTATCCCATAATTGGAATAATTCAAGTAGGGGAAGAAATAATGCTTAGCCCGTTTCATCCTAGTGAGATGTTTGAATGGTCTTCCAGACAATTTGGGCTCTTTAATTCGGAGTATAAGGATTAAAAAAAAAATATCAAAAAAATTAACAGGTCGTGGTCGTCAATCTGAAGAGGCCTGACAGTCAACCTGACCGCCATCTGAATGTTTCAAGCAAGCAGACAAGAATTTGACTCGGAGAAAAAGTGGAGATGGAGCCTTCATTGCTCGATGTTCGTCGCATTTCAACTGTGACCCAGTCAGACATTGACCTTTCGTGGATTCTGTTGCCAGTCTTTGTTCGTCGAAATTCATTGCACAGCGGCTGCGACCCGCGTCCGATCGCGCACGTGCGTAATTCCCACTTCGTCAGATCCATCGATCTTTCTGCTGCTCTCGCACACGCATATTCCCTCCCTCCGTTGCAGGCGCGGCTGGCGATGGGGCTGGTCCCTATAACTTCTTTCATCATTCGCCGTTTCCTTCATTCGGTGCTGTGAAGCCACCTTCTTCATTATCATCCCCAACTGATTACGAGCAGCTGCTGCTGATTTCAGATTCATCTATTTCGTCGCAGAATCTCGTTCCCTGCTGTCCCCAGCACGCAGTTGTCAGTCGAACCTCTCTGTCCTCGAGAGGTCGAAGAGAATCGTAATCGCTTCGAGTCTGATCACAAGCCATATCTATTCTCTGCAGCGGAGAGATTGATAGCGGCCTCTTGCCATTATTACGAAATTCATCTGATGGTCGGAGGATTCTGATCCTTAATTCCGAGGCGTGTCAGGTGTCGGCGGTGTTAATCTGCCACTGTAATCAAGGGATTGTCAAAATTGTGGACTCAGTGAGGTCCCGGCTATTGTGGAATCCGGATTATAGCTCCGACCGTGCTCTGCTCTGCAATCAAGTGTTTGCAATCGTCAATGCAAATGCCAGGAAAGGGATGTCAATGCTTCCTTATGGTGATACTGATCTCCAGTATCATCAGATCTTCAAGTGCTGTTCAGAGCGATGGGGTTTCTGATCATTTCGCAGGTGCTGGGGAAATACATTCTTCCTCGATTCACGAATACTGGAAAACGATTGGACCGACGTATGCTATGAACTGGGGGCAACCCCAAGGCCCCATGGCCGACCTGGCGAATTCCAATTTCCTGGGACTCTCCGGTGAGAATGACTTGTTGGCAAGCTGGGCTGCAGCGTCGGGTCCGTTCGAAGTGGATCAATTCGCCAGATCCAACAAATTCTCGAGTTCGAGACGAATCCGTGCGCAATCCGAAGGTGGTGCACTCCTCATTCTACCAGAAACGTTTTCATCACAATGAGGAAGTGAGGTAGGTAGGGTTGATGCAGAATCTCATGGAAACATCTCTGAGTCGACATCACTGAAGTGAAATGTTGGACCCACACAAGTCTCATCGAGATTTCTCGGAGTTTGTGATAGATTTAAGATAGCCTGAATGTCACAGGCTAGCGCTGTACATATTGCAATTGCGGACAAAGAGAGACCCATCATGTACAAAGTTATGATGTTATTAAAGGGTTTTAAGCTCACAACAAATGCCACTGAACTTTCTATTCTGTCTCATCAGTTTCTCTCAAATTTTGCGTGATCTTCGTTTGATCATTGTATCTTTTGTAAAAATTTTCCTTATTGTGGCAGATTGACCAGGTAGAGGCTTATGATAGAAATTATAATAGAGGTAGGGTTCTCAGAGCTGTACATACTGCTCATACAGTAAAACATCGAGACCCGTCGTGTGCAAATTGAAATTTAAAAAGGCTTTGATTAGAAACTCGAATCACTGTATTTCCTGTTCGATACCTGCCCAATCAGTTTCGATCGACTTGAATATCCTCGTCTGAAAGTGATGGATGACAACTTGCAAGTGCAGTTGAGGACACGTCTTGAACTGCAAAACCCCAAAGGCAAAGACCACCGAGAGAGAAGCAGGCGAGAAGGAAGGTAAGGAAAGGAAAAGTAAGAGGGCTGGTCATACTCTCGTCATGAACAACTGTTTTTCTCCTATATTCAACATTCCCCAGATCGAGTGACAATGGACGACGACCTTGAACAGAGAATATGTAGTGCACACAGAAACTGTTCACCAGGGGTATAGGAATGTGGACCTTGACCGTCGGTAACCTTGACTGTAGGTGATAGTGGGTCTGAACATGGTGTAATGGGTGAACAGCTCCGTTGAATGCACCGAGGCCATCATGACACAGGATATGGACATCTGGCAACGAGCACTGCATTTAGTTAATTTCTTACTCTTGACAACTGAAGCGTCCAACCAGTACTGTACTTTTGCCAGACTTGAACCTCGAGAGAATGGATATCTTGAAATCTGGCTTGATCTGTGATTGGATTCTCTCGTCCATTGAATTCCATTCTTTCATTCCTGGGCATGTGGGTTTTTCTCGAAAAATTCGCCGTCCTCGAAACCAGCGTAGAGCATTTCTCTCACACGGTGCCAATCCTTCACAGCCAAGAAACGAGCAATAGCGTGCGTGAACAGGACCTTGGTGACATCACTGACGAGTAAGTTTCTCTGTCCACAAATTGGTGCAGCACAGTTCCTCGGCAAAACTCAATCCTTGATCGATTGAAAATCTAGCAGATAAGATTTGTGTGCTGCTGGGGTCAAGACTCTCGCTTCAGTTTGTGTGCCTTTTTGTCTTTGAATCTTTGTCCATTTCATCTGGAATCGGTCGTAACCACTGGCCAAGAATTTAGGCCATGGAAACGGTTGCTGACAACACTATGGAGACCGGCATCGAGGCCAACAGTGTCACTGAACAGGACTAGTCCAAAACTATATCAAATATCCACCTAATCCATGATCCTGAGGCACGCAAACGAACAACAGACGGAAGATTGTATACGAAATACATGTTCATTGCTCAGTGATCAACAACTCCTTCCCACATAATCCAAGAACAGATCCTCCGCCGATTCCAGATTTCACTGTTGTGCAAATGCTCTGCTCTTGGACCCTATCTTCACAGAGATCAACTGCTGCTGCTAGGAGTTGGTAGACGATGAGGTGTACGAGGTGGAAAAACAAAATCGAGCTCACAGCTTCTGTGTCTCGATCCCTGTGTGTCCACCAGATATGAGGCTGGTAAAAAATTCCACCTTGTAGAGTGACTCATTATAATCCGAATGCAGGAGGCGTTCACTTCTTCTGGGAATTCGATTCTGTTTGTCGTTAACCTAACCTAACCAGATCGAACCTAACCTTGTTATGGATGCAAGCATGGCGTCTCCAGTTGATTAAGGTACCCTTTCTGATTCTCTGAAACTTTTGTGCGAGTCTTCCAAATATTGTTCGGCTCGACCTGTTTGAGACCAACTTGAAGATGAACGGAAGGGTAGTATAGTATTACACGCCATATCCTTCTGCTACACGTACACGGCGGGGTGGGATAAAACTTTTATGAAACTGCAGCAAATTCTTTACAAGAGGGTCGTCGCGTAGCCTGAAGATCAATCTAAGGTCTAAACAAATTCCAACATGAGAGTGCTTGAAGTTAATCCTATAATCTTCGGTGTTACGTGCTTCGCACTGCACTGCACTGCACGGTTCAAAGATCTGTTCTGTTAGTTTGGTCGATGCCATCCATGTCTATAAATCTAGCTATCATCATCTATCAGAGGTGCTATTAGAGGGGCGATGGAAATCCATCCTACATACTACTTGATCCCCGAGATGGTTGACTTGTGAACTCTAAGGGTGATGAGTGTCACCATGAATTTAAGACTTAGCCAGGTCAGTGTGCGTCTCTAACTCTAAGTACATACAAATAGAATGGTGAGCAACACGATGCCTCAAGGAGGTCGGCATCCGGTTCAACGAATGATGATGGAATTGGACGCAAAGTTGCACCGTTTCGTCACCCTCCCAGCGAATGAATGTAAGGGGTTATGGGTGAGGTTGATAAGAGAGAGAGGGCTGTTCAAGCATCTCGTGATTGAGATGAGAATCTGTGAGGCCCTGTGACGTCATCGTCATCGTCTTGTCTTGTTGTTATCCGGTTAAGCGAATGATTCGATCGATCGAGCGCGAGGTGCTACTTTATTGCTTCTCCATGTTCCTGTACCCAAGCGCAAGGACGTGAAGTGATTTCACGTTGCTCACGTAGCTGGATTTACCTGACAGGAGGAGATCCACACACTTTTCTGTGTTAACACCGGCATAACGAGCAAATCAAAGCCATACGCAAACGTCAAAACATCTCTTGTACCTTTCAGTACTGTCCCCATCTGTGCCTACATTCTGCAGCATCTCATTATTCTAACTAATCCAGGTCCACGACGACGAGGACCCATACTCTGCAGCAGAGCATAAGATCCTAGAGATACGAAGCTCAGGGTTTAATAAGCCCCGATACAATCTGATCTGAGGTTGGTGTGCAACCACTTCAGTCAGTCAGAATCAAAGTTCGCCTTCTTCATATGTCAACTGATGGATGGGAACCACAACTCTACATCAACATCCATGTCTAGCTAGCCATCCTTTGAATCAGGGCCTTCTCCTCAAGTAGTAGCTTGGACCATACAAATGCAGTAGGTCCTCGAGAATCTGCGTATGCTTCTGATCAAGGCGGCGGATTACAGCTTATCGCAATTTATGAGACCTATACTTTCTGCCTCTGCTCTGCCTACATGAGATTCTACCTTACGAGGATGAATATTCGTCTTCTGAAGCCACGAGTGTAACGATAACAACAACAACAACAACATCAAGGTTGAAAGATGACGAAGCGATATGAGTCAACTCAAATCAGCTCAAATCAGAGGTGGTTGAAAAAAATATTTTAATAGAGTAACAATGGGGACAATCAGACAATTCTATTACTCTATGCTTCAAGTCGAGGACTCGTCAGGTTCAGGTCCGTAACTCGAGGCACTAAATGAATGAGTGAATGAGTTTATACAGAAACTCTGTCAGCTTCAGCTGTGCTCAGCACTTATGTACATCGGTGCGGCTACTCAGTCAGTCAATCCAGCGCTCGATTGTGATCATGACCATGCACGAACCTTGACTAGCTCACAATTCTTCTAATCAATCGGCTGGCTGCAGAGAATGCAATCTGGTCAAAGCTGGTGCATCTCGATCGGTCCGTGAACGCAGAAGCCTGGAAAAAGTCCGTCTAGAAATGCGTCTAGAAATGTTCAATTAAAGAGAGAATAATTGTTTTCTGAGCTCTGTCTTCTGGGGAGTTCCCGCTGGGGTTCAGACATGGATAAGAGACAGTCATATTGCGATTGCTAGCATCACTGTGACCTCAATGGGGAATGAATGAATGTAAGGTACGACATTGTTCTGATCAGTGGATGAAGCAGCCAGAGACCCAATATGGCTGACGACTGTGGTGGTGATGGTGATGGTGATCGAGCTACGGACATCATGAATGAATTAATTAACAGATGAACGAGGCTGCAGAAATATGAGGAATGCTGGCATGAATGAATGCTGAATCTAGGTGTAGCTGCCGTCAGGCTGAGAGAGAGAGAGAGGAAGAGGTCTGCCACTCACACGAGGTCCTACATCTTTTGGAGTTGGATGTTAGAGTGTGGCATTGGCATGTCGTCATACTCACTCGCGCCATTCACACTCTCGCTGTGCCTGGTTACATGGATATCAAACTTATCACCATCGTCCCAGAGAGCGTAAGCTTCTTCGCCGTGGGCAGCGTCGTCTCCCACGGCCAGCTCCTCCTCGGACATGCGCAGCGGCACCACGAGCTGAATGGCCATACAGATGATGGTGGTCGACACGATGTTCCAGGCCACCACGAACAGGGCTCCGACGATCTGCTTGGCCAGCTGCAGCCCGGCTCTCGAGCCTCCATAGATGGCTCCGCGTTCGTTGGGGATGGGCAGGAACAAATTGCACAGCGTCGGCTGCGCGAAGAATCCTGCCAGGATGCCTCCCAATGTTCCTGCGACGGCGTGAGTGTGGAATGCTCCCAGAGTGTCGTCCACCGTCGACAGCAGCCCGCTCTTCTTCCTCCCCAGCACCATCATGGTGTACCAGGGAATGGTGCCGGCGAAGATGCCGATCACGATCGCAGCCCACCCTTGCACCAACCCTGCACCATCACAATCACAATCCCACGTACGTCATGATCTGCAGGCAGCACCTCAAAGGTCCTCCTCCATGGATTCCCGTCCCAGTCATCCGATTCAATTCAACATTCTGCAAAGCGATTCCACTGTTTTCAGTCTACTGGTGGGACAAGTGACGAGGATGTTTCGCTCACGTGCTCGACGACGAATTTTTCGTTCCAATTGCAGCGGAGTGGCTCAATGTAGAAGACAAAGGTCGGGACTCGGAATTGATGAGCAGTAAGGAAATGCAGTGGGGCTTGATCTGAACTTCACGCACGAGAAAGTCAACTTTAAGTTGAAGCAGTGGAAGGGACCGAGTCATGGAGCGACCGTGTGGACCATCGAGGGTGAGTGGGTGGGTCGAATGGAGACAAGGAAGGAAGCCATAGCTGGTCGTGGGGAATCTCTCCCACTCTTAGGGAAGACGCACTAAATTAGGATGGAGTTCTGCCATGGGCAGTCAGTGTTAGGACAGGCTCAGCAATGCAGACTTGTCGTGGCATGGTGGCATGGCAATGCTACATTTTGGCCTCTCGTACATTCAACGAGGATACATTCAACAGGCAATAGCTTCGAGAAATTCAACTGCCAGCTGCTGCTGGAATATTGGACATCGAGGCGATAAAGAAATGCTCGTTCTGGTGGAGGAGGACTGTACCTGCAGATGGAGTGATGGCCACTAAACCCGTGATCATACCCTGGACGGCTCCAATCACCGAAGGCTTCTTGAACACGAGCACATCGATACTGGTCCAGACGATCAGACTGGTTGCAGCACAGATGTTGGTGTTGAGCACCGCCATGGGAGAGATGAGGTTAGCTGCGTATGGTGCTCCACCATTGAACCCATTCCAGCCCAGCCATAAAAGACCAGCTCCTGCCAAAGTAAGCAGCACATTGTTGGGGGAAAAACTTCTGCGATCCCTTTCGTTTCTCGGACCCACCTGAAATACAAAAGAGAGGCAGCACATGCATATTAAATTCTAAACACAAATTCTAATCACAAGTCATCGTGAGCTAAGCATTCTGAAGTCACTGGTAGGTGATTCATTCTGAACAGAAGGAATCATGAATTCCTTTGCCAGTCGGTTGCTACTAAACGAGACAACGTAGCCAAAGGACATACCCAATAGGCAGCGACGAAACCAGCAACTCCAGACGACAGGTGAATGACGTATCCTCCGGCATAGTCTATGACGCCCCATTGAAACAGAAAACCACCACCCCAGAGACTAAATGCTCCCACTGAGTAAGAGAAACTGAGCCATAATGGTACGAATAGCATCCAGGCGATGAAATTCATTCTTCCGAGAAGAGATCCTGCTACTAGGATCAAGGTGAGAGCTGCAAAGACAAATTGGAAGTAAACCAGTGTGGCCATAGGATAGAATGGTTGGAGAGCGGGGTAGTATGGGGTTGTAGTTGCAGGGAGTTGGGCTTGTTGGAGCAGATATGCCTGACCAAGTGTCGGCCCTGCTTTCCCCCAGAAAGGAAGAAGCTTCTCACCGAATGACATTTTGTATCCCCAGATCACCCAGCAGATGAGAACGGCAGCAAAAGCGTAAAAGGACATGAAGGCGGAGTTGATGGCCCATTTCTTCTTCACTATACTTCCATATAGAATCATGAGTCCGGGCACACATTGCAGTCCCACCAATGTGGCTGCTGTCATCTGCCACGCATTGTCTCCTTTGTTCAGCCACTGCAATGACACAGTTCCATGACGACCAGTATTCTGGTACGCTACAGGAATAGGCAGACCTGAAGGGGACCCGTCCATGGATGCTACTCTTGGTCGTTGTTGTCGTAGGTCCGGCTGTTGAATGTGTGAATGGTTCTGATAGAGCTCCTAATTTGAACCGATTCCTAAACTATGTATCTGTAATGCACCGTGTACCTTCCCCTGAACCTGCTGTTGATCAGGAGCATGACAGACAAGACGAAGGAATCAGTGACTCAAATAAGAAAACTAAGATGTTCACGATGGAAAGATCACTGACATTTTCAATCGATGAAGCAGCTGGTACTGAACCGAGTATTCTATTACATTAGAAAGTTCTGCTCACTAACCATAGAAGGAGAAGAAGAAGAAGAATTCCTAGGACAGCTATAAAACCGAAGACCATGAAATGACACGACACAAGTGCAGGAAGACGTATAAGCAGGTTTTAAAACTGATCATCCGTGCAACATGTGTTAACACGTGAAGTTCTGAGAGCATTTGCAAATTCCGAATGTTCAGTCTTCACCATATGCTCTACAATTTGTGGGTGTCGTCAAAATCAAGACCAAATTTTGACATCTTCCCGCCTTCAGAATTTGTGTTTGCAGAAAACTATTAAAAATGATACTTTTCAGAAGCAGGTTGTTTGAAATGAACCACCTGGAGATGAGTTTCTTAAGCAATCACGTAACGTTTGAATCGAAATGTCAATGTTTTACCTCCTGCTGCAAAAATTTGATTGGTCAGTCCAGACAGAGAGGTCCTGTCTCAGCAGACAGAGAGCAGTTCAGAGAGTTCCCGTACTCGCTCTTGGTCTGAGCGATTGTGAAATAAAGATGGTCACCTGACGAACTAATACTTTTGTTTCAGTGAAGTGAATCACGAGGGGGCGGGATATAGGATCGACATTCCGATTGGTCATCCAAGATGGATGCACGTACGACGAAAGTAATGCGCGCACAAGGAATCCAGCAAATGATAGGCACTAGATCGTGCCCACTTCACTTCGAGAATCCCTCATTTGGTGGAGTTTATTTTCGGATCCATGTGTATATTCTCTCGGCCTAAAGTTAGCAACTGACTGAAGGCTCGTACAGAAGTCGACTTCTACAGACATCACACCATTTAGGAATAAATTGGAAGATTAGAAATCTACAAGTTTTGGCATATTGACAGAATTTAATAGTCCTGAGGCTTGCGTTTCACCTTGTTCAAACTACAGTGATTCTATGTTGGTCCTTGCGGTGAAGTAGGGAGCATCTGACCGGAGATAAACACCTCCAAGCATCTGTATTCACTTGCAGCTCTAGCAGCCGCCAATGGGTTCGTAACAAGGTACAGCTTGATCGTGTGCTTCATTAGTGTGGGCGATTATAAGGGGGCTGTTCCTGTTCCTGCATGCTTGGAACGAGGTCCTTTGGTTGTCTTTACCTCCTGGGGGGGAGACAATAGTTGGGACTGTGGAACACATTCGAGTAACTGTCTGTAATCGCTCGTTCAGCAACTGCAGTGGCCCAAATCACAACTTCGCACCTCCGTGGACTCGTGATCCACCTGAAGGTCAGTACCTCTTAGAGTATTTCAGAGTAGTTTGGAATCTCTGAGTCTCAAATCGATGTCTCTTCGGCATCAAGCAACTGAAGAGACATCAGTTCCCAGCGAAAACATGTACAGTAAAACTAGCCTCACAATGCTCACAATGTTTGAGACATCTTATTTTTCCTGTTCAAGGAGGTCAGTGATTCTTTTCAGGCTTTTTTTTTTTTTCTCTAAGTGCTGATTTAACCATGAAACGCGTCAAAGTCGGAGACAAGACACTCTCTGTTCCACCAGCATGAACAACAAGGATCTTAATCAAGGACCCTTGTGGGAGGATCTTAATGTTCATCGGTTGCTGTCTTGGCATCTGGCGGGTGTCTCTGTTCAGAGGAATTACACAACCCGGATATGGAGAATCCTACTGACCTGGATTCTCCTGCACCTGATTGTGAAAATATATTCGGAAAGTAGGTTCTAAGAACGCCATTGTCATGTGCTTGCTGCTTAAAGATTTTCCATCTGATTCAATTAACAGAGGTTTTGATATTACTAGTATAATTTTAAACGAGGATTTTAGTCTGGGTAGAATAAGACTTCCTTGGGCGATATTGTTTTCTCGTAAACATTCTTCAAGTCTTACGATGGTAAGTATTCTGGCATGTCATCTGTTCTCGATTCTGTCAGATTCTTTTGCATGCATGTATTGAAGGAGATCATTGCTGCAACTGTACACTTTCTCAGTGATGCGCATACTAAGCTTGGGATCATCCTAGCAGTGCCAGCAGTTTTTTCTCAATATCTAAAACGTCAAATTGAGGTACCGCTTCCCTAAATGGATGCACGGGAGTAATGGACCAAACCATATCATAAGAAATATACTTTAAGCCCCAAACAGACAAAACAATAAGATTCCAGATTGTTTCCATCGACTTCTAAGTGCCCGATGAGTTACACTTCGACTTGATAAAAAGGATCAATAATCATATCCCTATAAGAGTAATGGCAATCATCAGCTCTTGACCGGCGCCATTTTATTCTCGACAGCCAAAAGGTCTCTTTAAAGCTTGAAGATCATCAATCAAGAAGGTTCTCACGAGGAATCCTGCACTCGTCTATAATTTTTTATAAGCCGTAAAAGAACCTCTGTCATGCAGAAGGTTCTACGTGACCGAGGTTGACAGAGGTTTAATTAACAGTAAAATGTGTTTGTGTCTCCAGCCTGAATTCAGGGAAATTCTTCTACTGTAGAAGAAATTGTCACCGACGTCAGAGAAGAATGTCCTTCAGGGCTACGAGTCAGAAGGTTGCCTGGGAGCCTGAAAGGTTGGAGACACTTTTGTGAATCACTGACTATTCATAAGATGACTGCTGAAGGAGAAGTGCTGAACGGATAACAGTGATTATAATGTAAGTGTCAGTGCTCTCAAGGCAGAACAATCACCTCATCGCATTTAGGCGATACCGCCTTCTGAGCTGGCCTTGAGCTAGCTATCCGGAAAAGGTTCATGTCCTTAGATGATTCGTTGTATCAGTGAGGCCATCTTCTGCTGCTTGCAAGCAACCTATGTGGCTCGAGGTCTTCGGAGTGAGCTCCATCTCTCCTCAGTTGGGCACCACTGGACGACAATACTTTCGACAAAAATGACAATTTTACAAGAGTATCGTCACATTGTCCTTTCTGGGCTGGAAATGATCATGGTGAGCACTGTGACCCCAAGCACCTCAAGGACGTGATGAAGCATTGGATCCACAGTACATGCTTTCCCAACTGAGACTGGATTTGACATATCTAGCCATGATTCAATTCCACGTGGTGGAGGTCAACATGGTAGAGGTCGCATGTGCTTACCATTTTGTTGGACGTACCTCTGACCCCAGTCAATGGAGACTACAGGTACCAAACACATCAAGACGGAGTCCATCATTTCCCACTTAGTTGGAAACATGCAGTGGACTTAACTTGACCTTGGACTCGAGTAAACGTGATTGACCACATTCGCATGCGCAGACTACATCGTCATCATCATCTGAACCACGAGTGACTTCGAGAATCATCAAGGATTACTTTCTTCTGGCAAGAATGATAAACCAATGAGTCACAGACATCTTATTCTCACTACTCCTGAGCACGATCCAAACCGCGTTCCCTCAAGCTGGTCACAAGTCAAGCTTGGAAACGCCTTTACCTGGAGCGCAGGGGTGGCTCCATGCAGCCTTGAGCTTGTAATAAACGGAATGTTACATTTATAAATACACTTTGAAAGGATTTCAACGGAAGCAGGAGTTGCTGTCCATAACATCGTGGCAGATCTCAGAGTCCAGTGTTACTGGGGCCTTGGCCTATGGAACCGCTTCCTTACACGTAGAGACAGATGGTACTAGTTCCATCCAGCACAGGCTGACCTCCACAATCTCACAAGAAATGCAGTCACCGTTCGTCATACAGCTTCTGATATATAAACCTCGGAGCCAGGAGTGGATCCAACTTTGACGTGGTACAATTCGTGAAACTTTACCTGAGCATAGGCATCGGGAATCTCTGAGGCTGTCCAGGACCGGAGAGCTAAAGGAGGACAATGCTCTTGGCTCCTACAATGTAGGAAATTTTAGAGGCACATGGTGCATCCGTAGACAAGCCTTCACTCTTTGGCTGAGTTTAGACTGCTTGATTCGAACTGTTGCTTTAGCCACTCAATCATACTCTTCGGAAAAAAGTCAGATTGCACGTGCTGGTGATCGGATTGGAGAATGTGCTCGATCGATCCGACATCTGGGTCGATTGTAGCCAGAGCCACGATCGCATTCTATTTGGAACCGAGAAGGCTATGGAGAAGGCTAGTGGTTCTATATATACCCCTCGGTTGGTTTTTTAAGTAATCATCTTTACACTCAGCACGTGAAATCTCAAGCCCTAATTCAGAGCTTTGCTGTGTAGCTGGTCACTGGAGAAAGCTGGGAGATGATTTCCCACAGCATGAGAGGGCAATGGATCTGCTCAGAGATTCCAGACGTCCGTGCCTACACGGAAGCTTCAGAAAGGAGGCAAAAAATAATCTCCTTTTGAAACCGAGCATCAACAACAGCGACTCTGAGATTGTCGACTGACGAAAGCCGTGGCGATCGACATTCGTCGAGCTGATCATGGAAAAGGATATACTTGCTACGCGTGAGCGGTTCGAGCGCACCGTCGCATATCTATAGATCTGATCGCGCGTACGGGTCGGAGCTCATAAGAGGAAGAGATTCCTGCGGCCGATCAAGTGATAAGAAGGCGTACTTTTCCAGGAGATTCTGGCGAAAGATCAGAGAGGGAGAAAGGTGAGCCGCCGGTGGAGCTAGCTTTCGAAAAGTAACATCGGTCTACGGGCGAATCCATCGCAAAGTGCTGCTCTCCATCGGCTGCCTGCTCGTCAGCAGCCGCAACTGGATAATGTTGAAGAGCGCTACGGGTGATAACTGAATGCATCGCTGCATCCTGCACCATTCTCGATATAATCAGATTAAGAAAGACGAGCATGTGGGTGCATGTGTCGCGTGAAAAGATGACCCCTGTGACAGACTCGGAGCAATGCAGCGAGCGTCATCGACCCGATGACACAAAGTGCATGAGATTACGTGAGATATTACGTGGTGAGTGAGTCTGGAGGAGCTTGGGCACACGCATCGATGAATGAATGAATGAATGAATGACTTGCGTGGCATCCGAGCACTGCGCACGCATCGGGGAGCAATATTTGCTGACCCGTCTTCGGCTCGGAAAAGGAGCATCTGGCTGCTGCTTGGGACGGTGGACGTGGGTCGGATTCGCCCCAATGCTCGCATCGCGTCGATTCAATTATTGCTCGGAATCTAGAATGTGCTCGCTGATGGCGCAAGGATGCAGCTCTGCGGACGACGTCGACAGCTGACGTACAAAGGAGTGCAGTTCATGAACGTCCGTCGTCGAGAACGAGGCGCAGGATTCTTCCACATTTGCGCTCTTTTGCTTTGTCCTCCTGCGCTGTCTCTTCACGATTGATGCACCAAAATTCAATACATCAATTATCGTCGTACATATATGTAAAGATATAACCAATATTGATAGTAAAATGTATAATTAAATAAATTTTATATAAATTTTTAAAAATAATTTTGAATATGAAATAAGATAGCACAAGTTTATTTTCGTTTTAAAGAAAAAACCTGAAATCAAATACATTTTTTCAAATGTTTTTTTATAAAATTAGACAATTTTTTTCACCTAAATATTTTTTTTGTGATAATTTGATGATTTCAATGATATACTAGCATAAAACTTATCCCTGCAA